CCCTACAGCGAGCTTCATCTGCGGTCTCAGTGGACCCCTCCGCATGCGGGCAAGGCGGGTCCGCATGTGGGCATGCCCCTCACGAGTGTTCTGACCCCAACGCAGGGCCAAGCAATGCCCAGCGATGCCGCGTTACCCTTTGCATTACATTGCAGTGCTTTGCTCTGCATTGCTAAGAGCTGCTTTGAATTGCTTTGGTAAAAGGAAGACGCCTAATTGGGGTCGCGCCGGGGTCATTACAAGGGATCGCGACCCTGAGAGAGGGAGTGATGCATGCAGATCTCCGCGGGATAGAGGGGGAGATGCCCGTTACATCATCGCAGAAGTCCTGCCAGGCAGCCCTTGGCATTCTACAGCACCTGAATGTGTCCGGGGGTACGGTGGCGGATGCGTATACGTGCGTAGGGTGTCTTCGGGCCAGCGGAGCCCCTGCATGTCACGCTTTCCGTAGCAATTTTGGCCATGCCGGCCGATTCTGCTGTGGTGCCAGTGGTGACCAGGGGTCGGCCGCTGCGATCGCAGTGGTCGGCCGCCGGGTGGCAGGCAGCGGGCGGCGGCGCGTCTGGCGAGGCGCGGGGTGGCGTCGCGCTGCCGCGTGGGCTTCCCAGGTATAGCGCCCTCTCGGCAGCTGCAGAGCCGCCCGCGGTGCTCGCGGACGCCGACCTCGAGCACGGGAGGGGGGCTCTCCGGGAGCAGGTCGAGGTCTCAGATGCATTCTGGCGGGCCATGCAGTGGCCCAGTGTGGCGATGCTCGTGGCCACACTCTGCTGCTGCGTGGCGGTGCGCGTCGCCTGCTGGGCCACGAGTCTCGTGGGCTGGGCCGTGCTGATGTCTTCCTGGTCGTGGGGGAAGTGGGCTGAGCTCCGCTACTGGCTGCTTTTCTACCTGATTGGGGTCGTGGCAGAGGTGGGCCTCCTGAGCCTCGCGCGCATTTGCCACAACAAGCTCGTGCAGCAGTCGGACTGGCACGTCGGACCTGGCTTCGTCAAGGCCTGCAGCGTCTTCTGCTGCGGCTTCTGGCTTCTGGCTTTGGTGCTGCTGCGGCTCCGAGTGCTGGCCGTGGACGCGTTCACCAGCGTCCTGGCGGGCCTGGTGATGTGCTTCACGGTGAGCTCATCTGGCGATGGAGGACTGCCAGGCTACAGCCAGGCTGGTGGACCTGCTAAGCCTGGCACGCTGGAGGCTTTGGGTCAGGTGGAGTTTAGGCTTGGCCTGTTCGACGGCAGCAATTCGGATGGTCCGCATTTGTCGAAGGAGTGCTTTTTCTGCCTCGAGGAGTACGCCCATAAGCAGGCCGTCATCGTCACCCCTTGCAGGCACACGATGCACCGCGGGTGCTTGGAGAAGTGGCTAAGCAAGAGCCGTTCCTGTCCCATGTGTCGTCGCAATTTGGAGGTGACGCCGCCCACGCAGCAACATCATTGAGATGTGCATCCGCGTGCGCTGCAATTTCTTCGTATCCGTTCGTTTGAACAACATCATGTAGATGTGCATCCTGGAGAGCGGCAGTTTCTCAGTCTCCTTTCCTGTGAACCCCGTATCCATATTTCTCTTCTGTGCCAGTCGTATCCTTTCACATTCGCCCGCGTGTGTCTCTGCATCACGCTGCCTGTTGCGCTGAATTTGTCACCCACTCAGGAGCCTCGTTGCACTGTCTCCTTTACCAAACAACAAGCTAGAACGTATCTGCCGCGTGCTCCCTCTGCCCTATCCTCTGTGTCGCCCGCCTCCTGTAATGCAGGCGTGAGATGGGCTTACAGATTGAGCACACGCCATCCTATCGGCCTCGGGGTTCGATAATTTTCGATTGGTGGCGAGGTAATATTTTCGAATCTTTTGAAGCATCGATGATGCAAGCACGGCATACGCATACAGTTTCGGAGGCTCGCGCGGACTTCTTGGAGCGCGCCAGGGGCGGCGCCGGAGGCGTCGCCAGGGGGGCCCAGCGCTGATCCAAGAAACCCGCGCGGATATCTGACAGTGTATGTTTATACCACCTCTTGTTCCTAGATCGGGGGAACGCAAGACCCGAGTAAGCCGGAACTCGGGTTTACCGACGTTTTTTTGACGAGCGCGTCCTAGATTTTGACGGTCCAGTTTTCGTGGGATGTCTGCAGCGGGAGCTCGCGTCAAATTTCAGATTGGGCCTCGTCATTTTTATGATGGCCCCGTCGGGCCAAACCGAGTCCCCCGTACCCGAGTCTTACGTCTCCCCGGCTAGAAAGTGACCGGTCGAAAACGACCGTCAATCCGACAACGAACGGATCGGCGACGAGCCACTGTCACTGCGGTCTTTCCGCCTTGCCCCAGAGTGCAGTTTCTTGGAGTCTCAGTGTTGGTGTGCTGCCGCCTCGGCGCGGAATGCCTCCTATAGCGAGGCATGACGCGCTGACCTGGCGCCGTTGACACAGATAGTGCTCCCGATGAGGTATTCGCCAGGATCATGACAGAATCTGGTGGTGAGCCCTGATGCGCCCTTTGGACAATAAACGTTGAAAAACAATCAACGGCGTAAACATAATTCTCGGAGCTACGCGCAGATGTCTTGGACTGGAGCCGGGTTCCCCTGGCGGCGCCTCCAGCGTTGCTCTTGGCGCGCAAAGCGCGCCAGGGAGTGGAGCCCAGCGCTGATCCAAGAAATCCGCGCAGACCTTCAAGAGTGTGTGTTTATGCATGTTTCTTCTCCAGCAAATTGTTCCCTCTTCGGTAGCAAATCATGCGAGCCGCATGCGTCCTTGAAGCTCCGTCTTTAGAGTGCATTCGCGTGCACTAGCGTCTGGCAGTCGATGAGGAGGCGCCGATTTAGCGTTGATGAGCGTCGATTTAGCGTCGATCAGCGTCGAGTCGCAGGAGCCAGCAAGATGACATGGGAGGCCCCCAGAAGTTGCCACATATATTTGCTGTGGCGCCCTCTGCGCGCCAGAAGCGCCCCCCTGCGGGCTTGCTCTTTGTGGGAGCCGATGGGGCGCAGCCCGACGCGCGAGTGTCGGCCCAGGCCGTCTGGGCGGGAGCCCGGCAGGAATCCGGGGCAACCAGGGGGGGCTCCAGAGCGAGCCCCAGGACGCCCTGTACCTGCAGAGCGCCCCGAGAGTTCAGGACGGCCCAAGAGCGCCCAGACCAGAGTGACTGGTGTTAAATCGGGCCTGTCCCTCTACAGGACGAATCTTCAGAAATAGTCAAAACACAGTCTGGAATATATATATATATATATATATATATATATATATGTATATATATATATACACATATATATATTGGGTATCATTGGAGTATTTTTTGACTATTTCTCATTTTTCGTTTAAGCCCCTCTGTAGGGGGACAGGCCCGACCTAACACTGGTGACCCGGTGCCGTGCCGTTCGGCACCATTCGGTCGGAGATGGACTGCCGGGTGCTGTTCCCAGAGTGCCGTGCGGAGCTGTCCATACGTCGCCACGGTGCCCGAGGTGGCAGCGACAGCCCTGTGCCGCGCAGTGCGGTGCCCTTCGCTGACGCGTCGGCCGCCAGAGCTGGATGCTCGGTTGCAGGGTGTGCAATGCCGTCTGGTAACGCGTGATTTTTTCCGAGCGTCATTCCAGGCCTCCAGAGTGTCAGAGGAGGAAACCATTATCGATATTGTTACCCTTCCCCTCGTGCTCGCTTTCCTGGACCTCCTGGGAAGCCATCGCCGCCACGGCCGAAATTCTTGCCAGAACGCACCCCGCGAGAGGCCTGGGGAGTTGTTGCAGTATCGGTCCCTTCTTTCAAAGGAGAAAAAACACTCCGACCCCCCTATTTGGCGTTTACTAAACGGCCCTGGGCGTCTACGAAACAGCCTTGCCCTGCTCGATTCATTCCTTGGGTGCGTTTGATAAACAGCTTTGCGCGTCGGGTTGTGGCGCAGTTCGCATGCGGTTCCTGCGCCCAGTGCAGCGTTTCGTGGCCCCGTAGGGAGCTCCACCGAAGGTCCCAGTGGCGCAGTTCGCATGCGGTTCCTGCGCCCAGTACAGTGTTACGTGGTCCCATAGGAGCTCCACCGAAGGTCCCAGTGGCGCAGTTCGCATGCGGTTCCTGCGCCCAGTGCAGCGTTTCGTGGCCCCATGGGGAGCTCCACCATAGGTCCCAGTGGCGGAACTCGCATGCGGTTCCTGCGCCCAGGGCAGCGTTGCGAGGCCCCATAGCGGACTCCACCGAAGGTCCCAGTGTCGCAGTTCGCATGCGGTTCCTGCGCCCAGTACAGCGTCTCGTCGCTCCAGAGGGAGCTCCAAGGAAGACGATACCCACATTTGCGGTACTCGCAGATGTATCTGGCTGGGTTCTTCGCCAGGCTAATTTTGGCTGTTTGGGTTTGTCTGGGGTCCGGTCTCTGCATGCCGCAGGGCAGCTGTACATCACCGCCAGCTCTGGCCCTGGCCAGGGATGGTGGTGGTGGTGCTGTGCAGACCTCCGCCTCCCAGATTTCTGAGCAAGAGCCCGCGACTTCCGGAGGCAGCGTTTTGTTCTCTCCATCGTCTGGTCTTCCGCTCTAGCTCCTTTCTCTGTGCAGATCTCTGTGCAGATCTCTGTGCAGATCTCCGCCTCCCAGATCTCCGCGAATTCCGGAGGCAGCGTTTTGTTCTCTCCATCGTCTGATCTTCCACTCTAGCTTCTTTTATCTGCATCCTGCCCTCTCCCCATCACCCGTGTGCCCCTCCACAATGACGACGCCGGCGGCGGCATCGGCGACGACGCGGACGATGACGACGATGACGACGACGACGACGACGGCGGCGGTGGCGGCGACGACGACGACGGCGACGACGACCACGACCACGACCACGACGAACACGACCACGACCACGACAACGACCACGACCACGACCATGACCTCCTCGACCACGACCACGACCATGACCTCGACGACGACGGCGACGACGACGACGACGACGACGGCGACGACGACGACGACGACGACGACGACGACGAGACGACCACGACCACTATCACGACCAAGACTACGGAAAGCGCGTGTTCTACCGCTGCTGGCGGAAAACCGGGGGGGGTTCATTGGGGGTTCCTAACCCGTCCCCCCCGCCCCCCCCGAAAACCGTGGGGGGGGTCACTACCGGTTCGAACCCCCCCCTCCTCCCCCCGTCTATCCTGAAAAGGGGGGGGTCACTACGGGTTCGACCCCCCCCCCCTCGCCGCCGGCAAACGATTCTCGCTCCTCGGGACAGAGGGACAGTGGTGGGGACATGGGGACGACGGTGGGGACGGTGGTGGTGGGGACAGTGGTGTGGGGACAGTGGGACAGTGGTGGGGACAGTGGGACAGTGGTGGGGGCGGTGATGGTGGGGACAGTGGTGAGGGGACAGCGGGACCCTGGTGGGCACAGTGGGGACAGTGTGACAGTGGTGGAGACGGTAGTGGTGGGAACAGCGGTGCATTGGGGAGAGTGGTGAGGACGATGGTGTGGGACAGTGGTGCAGTGGGGAGAGTGGTGGGGGCAGTGGGAACAGTGGGACAGTGGCAGTGGGACAGTGGGGACAATGGGGCGAGTGGGACCGTGGTGGGACAATGGTGGGGACAGTGGGGACAGTGCGACAGTGGTGGGGGCACTGGTGGGGACTGGGGGCGGCGGTGGGAAAAGTGGGGACAGTGGTGGTGAGGACGGTGGTGCTGGGGACAGCGGTGGTGGATGTGGTGCAGACGGTGGTGGGGGCCCGGGAGTCGGTTGCCGGCGGTGAGGGGGGGGGGTTCGATCCGGCAGTGACCCCCCCTCGGTTTTCTGGAGGAGGGGGTGGGGAGGGTTCGAACCCGTAGTGACCCCCCCAGTTTTCCGGAGGGGGGGGGCCGGGGGGGGGGTTCGAACCGGTAGTGACCGTCCGCGGTTTTCCGGAGGGGGGGGGAGGGAGGGGTTAGGGGGGGAGGTTGCCGGGGGAAAGGGGGGGGAGAGGGGAGGAGGGGTTCCAGCAGGGGGGGGATTTTTGAAGGGGGGGCATCCCCAGGTTCCGGAGGAAGAGGGGAACATTTCCCATCGTAAAGTGACGGTGGATCACGCTCTCTCAGACCACGACCACGGCCACGACCACGGCCACGACGACCACGACGCCGACGTGGTTGGTTTCCAGGCCGTAACTCGGGTCTCCAGCGGCCGTTCGGGACGATTGGGGCACCCGCGGAACTCTCTCACGCAGCTGCTGGCAGGCATCCCGGGGCGAGAACCAGCGAAAACCTTTTGAGAACCTCCGACCCCGATGGCGGCGTTGGCGGGGGCGGCGGCGATGACGATAACGACGACGACGCCGACGACGCCGACGACGACGACGGCGACGACGGCGACGACGACGGCGGCGACGACGACGACGACGCGGGGTGGCTTGGTGTATGCCGCCGACGCGGGCAGACTCTCGGCTCAGAGCCACGATGTGCGCCGCGCTCGTGCAGCCCAGCCAGCCCGCGGGCCAGGGCCCCATGGCGTGCAGGGTGGCGGCCTGCGTGCCGCTCCTGGGGTTCAGGCCCCGTCGGCTGCTTGTCTTGCCTCACGTCGGGGAACGAACAATGACACAAACATTGAGTCGGGCGTGTCCCTCTACAGGAGGAATATTCAAAAATAGTCAAAAGATAGTATGGGGAAGATTTTTTGACTATTTTAGAGCATTTTTGGAGCATTTTCTGACTATCGTTAATTGTTCGTCCAAAATCCGCCTGTAGGGGGGACATACCAGGCCTGACACAAACATAACCCGGAGGTCCACGCGGTTTCCTCCGATCGGCGCTGGACCTCCCTCCCTGGCGCGCGGAGCGCGACAGGGGCGGCGCCGGAGGCGCTGCCAGGGCGGTCCAGCGCCGATCCGAGAAATCCGCGCGGGCCTCCCAGTTGTTATGTTTATGTCATTGTTCGTTCCCCAATCACGTCCGATCTGTTGAGGCGTCGGGTAGCGCACAGACAGCTCTCCGAGGTAGTCCCGGCTGGCCTCGGGGGGCGGATGGGGCGCGGGAGGATGTCATGGCTGGGGCCACGATACCTCTCCAGATGTCATGGCCCCTCTTCTCATTTCAATGCAGTCCCTGGCCCCCCCCTGGTCAGCGCACATGCCTCGGGCCATGCTTTGCGACCCCCCCCTCTCGGACGCCCCCTTCTCGGACGCACCCTACAACACCCCGGCGCCGCCCCGGGCGGCGCCACTGGGGCGCTCCGCGCCCCAGAGTGGGGGTGTTGAGACCTCCCTGGGCAGGTCTGTCTGTGCACAGCCCGAAGCTTACCGCGTACGGCCGGGAACTTCTGGTCAGCGTGTCGCGCCGCCAGGTCTAGCCCACCATGCTTCGGCGCGACACGCTGACCACGTCCCAGTCTCCAAGGGTCCGCGCCCCGAGCTCTTCCTTAGCCCTCCGCCCCGCGAAGCGGGGCAACACGTTATCTGGTTGCAGGGCGCAGCGTGTCGCAGAGGCCGCCGCGGCGACGCGCTAAACAGCAGCTCCCGACCGCAGGCTCGGCGGTTGATCGCCTCTGCCCCAACTCTTGCTACATTCTTTCGCGCCG